ATTCTTAGTTTCTATGAATTTTGGTTTAAAGACTTTGTTTCCCTATTTTCCTTTGATGGTATGGGTATCCAGCGTGAAAGGCGTGGTAGTAATCTCAGCCTTTGTTTTGTAGGTTCCCTGTGGTCTGGCCGTAGGGAATGAATGGTTTACTTTGTATAGGATACTACTTAAAGATTTTATTTTCCTGTTTTTCTTTCATGGTGAGGGTAGTTTGTTAGTTAAAGGGAATCTTCCTTGTTTTGTAGGTTTCCCAGTGGCCTGGCAGCACGTGGCAGGCTCTCAATACAACCTGTCAAAATGTGTGTAGTTCTCATGCCTCTTCTCTATATCACCGTTGCCCTTATTTTTCCACGAGGCTATGGATTCAGAGAGATTAAGTGACTTGCCCAAGGTCACACAGCCAGGAAATGGCAGGGTTGGGATTTGATCCTAGGTCTGGTCAACCTGCAGCTCTTTGGTTTGACACTACCCTAGCCTCTTCTCACTGTGGTGGTAATGGGCATGGTGCAAGGAATCCTGCTCACAAAATGACATGCCAGGGTGGCCTTTTCTAACGCAGCCACATTTGTGTTCACAGAAATGTACACACGAGCTCCTGGCTTGGCGTACTCAGAGGCTTCGAGAAGCCCACCACTCTCCATCTTGCATGGGGAGAGAGTTCAACCACAAGAGGTGTCCCTCAGCTCCAGGTGCTTGTCCAAGGGCTGGCTCAGGCTGACTCTGCATTATTCAGTTTCCTAGGAACCACCCTTCCGTAACATAATGCTGCCCTTAAACACTAGAGCACCCGCTTTCCTCCTCCTCCCACCCCTTTGTCTCCTTCTGTCTTTTCCCTGTGCCCCACCCAGACCTCTCCCTCTTTCCAAACAGCCTTTGCCTCCCTCATCACCCCTTGTCTCCACCCATCACAGCCTGGCGTCCATTGCCTTTCTCTTGGGCCAGCTAATTAGCCTAACTTTTGGGGCCATTGCCAGTAGTGCCGTGAGGGCATCAGACACCAGGTGGCAGCACAGGGCACCTTCACCTGTCGCCACCTCAGTGACCCTCTGCAGAGGGACCAAGCCAGGGAGAGGACAACAACACTGATAGATCCCTTCTATGGATAGGTGTTCTACATAGCCGCCTCCCTCCCCAAAGCAAGTTGTGGGTTGGCGCCCTGCTCTGGGAATACAGCAAGGCAGGTCAAGGAGGTAGCAGCTCCAGCAAATGCTCAGGCAGAATTCTGCAAGGTAACTTTGGAACTCTGTGTGTCTTAGCCCTGGTCCAGGTATGAGAACTCCTGACTGTTGCCCATGGAGCTAATTAATTCTTCTTGTCTTAAAAATTTCTGAATCGGGCACAGCAGCCAATGTTCACATGCATGCCAAATCAGATCAAGTGCAGGTTGGAGGCCAAGAGGGCAGCCTTGCTGAGGCCATGAGTGGGGCCAGTGGGGCCCCAAGCAGGCTGGGGTCTGGAGGAAACAGGAGAAAAGGAAGAGGCTGGAGTTTGGGAGCTGGAGGCTGGTTTGGGGTGCTTCTGGCCTTCCAGGAGCCAAAAGGGGCTAAAAAGGAATCAGGCCGTGAGCAGAAGGGAGAGCTAGCAACCTGCCTTCGCTATTCCACACCCTTCCCCCTGTCTTGTCAGTTCCCACCTACTCTCCTTGTTTGCAGCATTTCCTGTCCCTGGGTTTCCCCGTTCCCTACCTTGCTCTTTCTCCTCTCTGCTGTCA